AGTGGTCGCAATCAAGAGATGGTGAACTGGTGGGTAGCGAGGAATGGAGAGGAGGAAAGAACAGGGGAGAGACGGCTGGTTAAAAGAACCAAGACTCTCCTCCTCAAAGACAATGTGAAAGTTCAAGTACGAACATGATCATTTTTTTCTTTTTTACTGTTTACAGAATCTCTGTTTGCAAGAAGTGTTGGAGATGGTAACCAATATCCTGCCATAATGCAGGAACTCTCTCACTGACCTAGTCATAGCTGCGGGAATCCCCTTGAGAGCACTTTCAGAGATGAGTGTTCAGAACCACAGAAAGCACCCACTTTACCACAAGGTGATTCTATTTGAAAGTTCTAAAACTCACAAACTTCTGCCCACTGACCTGAGCCAGGCATTGTGGAGCACACCCATTGGTCTTTCTAAAGATTTTCCTGTAGCCTGGCTGGCGTGGCTCAGTGGTTGAGCATCGACCTATGAACCAGGAGGTCACGGTTTGATTCCTGGTCAGGGCACATGCCCGGGTTGTGGACTTGACCCCCCAGTGGGGGGTCACATAGGAGGCAGCCGATCAATGATTCTCTCATCATTGATGTTTCTCTCTCTCTCTCCTTCTTCCTTCCTCTCTGAAATAGTGTAATATATATATGATATATATGACTTCCCTGCAGCCAGAGCCTCAGGCTTTCAAAGGTTCTGGTTACGGTTTCCGGTGTGCTCACCACTCTGGCTGCCATCCTTGGGGTTGGGGGTAGGTGTGGGGGCTCCAGACTTGCTCAGGTCTCCCACATGGTGGTGCCTAGAAGGGCAACTAAATGCAGTGGTCCAGGGGCCTAGCAATGCAGCCCGTGGGCGGATGGAAGAGCAGAACAGACTTCCTTTTCTAGCTACCAGCCCCCACACAAACATGTGCTGTTATTTTTTTAAACAGTTTGGCTTATATTCAAATTATCAATGATCTGCCCCCTCCCCACCTCATCATTTTCTTTCTTTTTCAATGAGGAACTATCTTTTCTGAACCTAGACAGAAGACTTAATATTCAGCCATTTTAATAGATTATACAGAGCACTATAGAACCTAACACCTAATACTTAATCTGTCCCAGTATTTTTGTCTGCCTTTTATTTTTTTTATACAAGTGAATAATAAAAATGTTAAAATTGGACACTGTTAGTGTACCTCATTCCACACGGACAAGGATCCATTCTTCTCAACACCGCCTGGGTGTGGCTATTCGATCCATTTCTCCGCCCTTTCAACCCTATTTCTACTTCCTTTTCTCCTGACTTTATCAAATGTCTTACTGAAATTACAATAAGCTGGGCATGTCACATACTAATAAATCTACCAGTCCCATAATCTGAACTGAAAAGGAAGTTTTATTGTAAAAGGATAAAAGGCTTAAGTAGCTCACTGTTGTATCTCTGTTAAATATCCTTCTTTATTTTTAAGGTACAGAAGTTCTACACACACACAAACTCACACTCACACTGGTAACGAATTGTGTTTGCTTGTTTTTAAGTTTTGCACTGCATCTAAGTTATGAGAGCATAGTTTAGGTCTACTGATCTCAGACCGAGACCTAGAAAATATCCAGTTTATTTGACCAATAGAGTCTACTATTTTTGATATTTTAGGGAAAAAAGAAAAATTCAGGTTTGGTAAAAAGCTTTAAGTATTATTAGAGGGCTTCATGAGGCAAATTCTGAATTGAGGGTTATTCATAACAACTCTAAATATTCTAAACACATATTTTGGGATGTTTCAGCTACCCAGAATCCCCTTAAACTTAAATATTGGAGAAGTAGGAAAGTGGTAGCGTGGGTCTGGAAAGTAAACACTCCTATTGACACAAATACACATTTACTTGTATGTCACGCGGCAGTAGACACGAGAATGAAGGACGCACTAAAGCAGGGATATACAGCACAGGGCAGCCCTACCCCACAGGAGTGACAGAATCAGACCAGAGGCTGAGATGAGTGGCAACAGCAGCCATGGCCATCACCACCACTGCCATTTGTGTGCCGGGTCCCAGGAGCCCAAGTTCTCACCTTCCCACTTCACTTCATCCTCACAGCAGCCCTGCCCGTCATCCCACTTCCAGGTAGGGAACCAAGCCTCAGAGTTAAAGGGCCTCCGAAGTCACACAGCCGCCAGCGGGGGACGTCTTCACAGCCCAGGCACCTGGCACCGCAAGTCCGCACCTGCCTGGAAGCACTAGGTTCGCTCAGGAAACTATGTCAATGTTTGCGGATGTTTTCCTCAAAATCATTACAATAAAAAGTCTGGGGCTTGAGAGGGGTGAGCCTTGGTTCTCTTGGAAACCATTAAGGAAACGTCTCGGCCTGCTGCCGACCCTCCAGTGCTGACTGGGTGTCGGCTGAGGAGAAACGGCCACTCTACTGTCAGAAGCAGTCCTGCGAAAAGCCTCTAAAAAGCACAAGTGTAAAAAGGAAACCTTCCCGCACAAGGACGGTTACGTTTTCAGGTTTTACCTCCTATGTTATCCCTAGCATGCGTGTTTTTCAGGAATGGGCATCACGCTTCTGAGCACTAGGGATAGTGGGCCATTCCCATCACAAACAGCTCCCGAAGGGCAGGTCTGCCTACAGAATGGATGAGCCTCGCAGGTCAGCTGGCAGGGCCCAGCGTGAGCCACGTGGAGGAGGCACACACAAGAGGAGGTGGGGATGCCTCCCTGGCCCAGCAGCAAATCCGATCACGCAGTTTTAAGTATAATGCAGCTCTATGTTGTTCGGCCAGCCGCAACCCTGCACCTGGGAAACACTTTCAGAGCCGCCTTTTAAGACCCCAGGTTATCAGAACTAAAGGAGCAGAATCCAGTAATGAGCCTAGATTTTCATCAGAAGTTAAGATTCTTGGGAAACAAATTCATGAAAATAATGTAATAGATCCTTAAACTGCTCATGATAGCACCTTATAGAAAATGAAAAACAGTAGCCCCGAGCATCTAAGTTCCAAACAATGGGTCAGATTACAGATAGACACATTTCCTGTCTGATCCTAACAAGGATGGAAATGAAGCTCTCATTTTACACAGAGTGGTGTTTAAATATACTACTTTTCTACGTTATGGAAACATAGTCTTTTAAAGACTTTAAAGTTCAAGTTGAGTTTCAAGTAATCGCTTTGCAGCAGCTCTAGGAGAATTATTGTTCCTCCTGATTAAAAGTGCCTATTTAAATAAAAACAGTAAAATGGAAAATACGCCTTAGAGAATTGTGTTCCTCAAGGCCGCTGACTGCTTGCTTCCAGGCTTTTGTCAAAGGACAGAATGTGTTGAATTCTTCTAAACTGGCAGGGGATCAAGCACAACACCACATAATGAGGTAGACGAGAACAGAGTTTTCCAATAAACATGAAGAACAAGGGAATAAGTGCATGTAATTCTCATCCGATTAAACAGGAAACATGATAAAGCAAGCTTCACATAGTTATATTTAAACCATGTTCATTGGTTTAACTTAAGAAAGTATGACCCAAGGTTTTTAGGTACACCTTATTTGTAATTAATGAATAAGAATAAAAATAAGATACTTAAAACCTACGATTTGTTCTGACATGCTAAAAATAAAGTTCTAATAAATGTAATTCACCAACCAGAAAGCAAGATGAACCTACAGACTTGGGATCTGAATGACTTGAAGTGGCTGTTTATTACCAGGGTCTGACGGACTGGCTCACGTCTTCCCATCTATGCGGTGTGGGCCCAAAGTCTGGGCTGTCAATTTCCTCCTGCTTGGACCTTCTCTAATTCACATCACAGTGATTGAAGAATTTACAACTTTGTTGGGCCACGAGGACATTAATATAAAAAGTTAAAATTAGCCCAAATTTCAGTTGAGTGGCAATTTAAAAAGATTTGTTTTTATTTCAAAATAAAAGAGAAGGCTCCCTTGCCGGGTTGGCTCACGGTTTGGGTAGAGCACTGGCCCACGGACTGAAGGATTGTAGATTTGATTTGGGTTAAGGGCACGTACCTTGGTTGCAGGCTCGATCCCCAGCCCCAGTAGGTCAGGGTGGGTGTGGGAGGCAACCAATCAATGTGTCTCTCTCACATCGATGTTTCTCCCTCTCTGTCCCTCCTCCTCCCTTCCACTCTCTCTAAAAATCAATGGAAACATATCGTCAGGTGAGGATTAAAAGAGAGAGAGAGAGAGAGAGAGAGAAGGCAAGAGACATTTCTCACTAGATAATTATGCAACACTGTTTTAGGTATTTGATTATCTAAAACTTTGTTATTAGATATTTAAAAGAGATAGAATTTAAAGATCCAATCCCTTAGATGACTTGTAATGACAGAATTAAGAAAGAACAACCTTTCTTAAAGAATATAGTCATAACTGAGCGCCTCAGAGGTCACAGAAATGGGATTTTTGCAACGAGACAAAGTTGGTAAGTTTAAAATGAAAATAACAATAGAGTTCCTTCTGAAAAATACAAACATTTTTAAAAGATGTCAGCTGGCTTGAAAAAAAAAATCTATAGGTCAATACTATGAAGACTTCACTGCCAACAGGCAGGACAAACTCTCACCTGAGTTCATGTTCTCAAATACGGGCAAGGGGGCTATTCCTCACCTTACACCACACATTTCTATATTTCTGAGCTGGCCAGAAAGAATACTTCAGGGGTTACTAACAAACTAGCGAAATGCTTTTCTCAACATTCTAAAACACAATTTCTTGTCCCTTATTGATTACATGTGGCAAGAAAGAGAAGTATAAACGAAGATTCAGCTCTTTAACGCAAAAGTAGCTTCTCTTTCAAACACACTTATTACTTCTTTTAGTAAATTCTGAAATTTCCTATAGCTAACTGATAAAGAAAACCTAAGATCTTTCATCTTATATCTGTGCAACTTGCAAAAAATATGGTTGGGGGTTTCATGGTTATGATATGTTTATAAACAATCTTGTCGGCCTAGAAAGGTAAGTGATAGTCTACTAGGCTGAGGAGTGAAATGATCATCCCAAGGCCTGGATTCTGCTGCTCTGCAGTGGAGCGAAGCTGCACCCACTGGGCCCTGGACTGCTCTCCGTCCAGTGGGGAGCACCACCGCTTCACACAGATGCCAGGGTCAAAGAGTCCCATATAAAGAGCAGTAAATATAACTCAGTAGCCACTAGGATAAGCGTTATCAGGTATGCCAAGCAGAGGTCTCGAAAATCCTACAGAACAAGTGGAGACCATAGAGTTGTGCGTCACATGTCAGGCACTTTGCGTTTTTTATTCTGCGCTAGTTTCCCACTTTATAAGGCCAGCCATCTGTGCACAAACTTTCGAGTTTAAAACCCAGAAAAATTTTAAGTCACTCTCGAAGGGTACTTTTCCATCCGGTGAAGAACATCACTTTGATCACAGCATACTATATTCACCCATCAAAATTTATTGACTGCCTACTGTGTGCACGCACTGGGATTCGCAGGTGATTAAGGGACGGCCCTGCCCACAGGACTTTACAATCCAGAGGAAGGGCAGTGCCACATCTGCCTCACTCTTCTGCTTCCCAAGCAGAATTGTTAGCAGGTGCTCAATAATTTGTCGAAAAAACCCAGAGCAGGCTTTTCTGCACTAATCAGAGCCTCCTCCAAGGCTCGGAGGCTCGAGGGGCAGCCACTGAACAAGGACAACCTTGCCCTTCCCTTCCACCAGGTGCTTTTTAAGGGGGTCCCAGCACTCTTTAAATTGATGCAATGTGAGGTGAAGTGCATCTTATTCTCTCCCCAGATAATCAAATGTCTTCATCTGACCACAGGAGGCCTCCTCTTGAATCAAGAAAGCCAACATTCTGGAAGGTAATACTGCAGTGTTTTTAGTGGTCCCTGAAAAACATTTTGGGATCCTGGTTTGGTACGCTGAAGTAGGAACGCTTCAAATGGAACCCCAATGAACCAAGGCAGCTAACGTATTTCTCTAAAAACCTAACTTACTGCCATGAGAACTGAGGTACCATAGCAAAGACAGCCCTATTTTTACCATGTCAGCATAAAGAATGTATTTCCTGTACAACACCTAGGGGACCCCCCACACTTATGATTAAAAAGGCACTTCTAAAGCACCACTGAAGAAAGTGCCATATTAAAGTGGTAGTGCAATATAATAGAACACTTCAATACAGACAATACACTGTCCAACATCCCCCAAATGTCCCTTTTTGGTTGTTATAGTTTGAAAAAAGCCTACTGAAATAACGAATTAATGAAATACACAATGAATTTAGAAATTTCTTAGGCCAAATCTTTAGCATACCAACTACTAGTTGGTAAACATTGTTTTTTAATCCCACTAAAGAAAAGAAATGCAAACACCAAGTAAAACTACAAATGTATCAATATTTACACTCAACATGAGTGTAACACAGTAGTATAAACTGAAGGGCCACAGGCTCAGAATTTATCTGAAGCACCAGGAGACAGTAATATACATAGTCTGGACTACAATTCAAAGGAAACATACACAAACAGACTTACCAAGTCACGTAACACACACACACACACACACACACACACACACACTCTCTCTCTCTCTCTCTCTCTCTCTCTCTCTCTCTCTCTCTCTCTTGCTCTCTCTCTCATCTCTCTTCTCACACTTTTCCTCTCACAGGATATAAGTACTATCACACACAAAAAAAAATCACACAAAACTTCACTGTAAATTAAACACTTAAAAATCTTTGAAAAAAATCTGCATTTGGATGTGTTAAACAAATAAACAAACAAATCTACTTTTGACTGTAGCATAGGAGAGATCCTTTAAATATTCACTTATTCTAACCTGAGACAACTTTCCTTCTGTTTGGTGGGATAATGAAAATAAATTGCACTTCCCCCAAAGATATTATATTTAAAATTTTAAGATCTATCCTTAGCCGCCAATTCCAACATACTCCTGGTAAAAGTGCCTTATGGAAAAAGAAGTATCAAAAATTTATCAAGAAAAGATGTTTCAAGTCATAAGTGGAATGTTAAAACACAAACCTGCATGAAATAAGTTAAAATTTATTTCACAATACTGAAATAACTGTAATTTACAAAAAAAGTCATGGTTAATTTTGGAACATAATAAAGTTAAATACATCCCTACACTCCAACATAATATTTTTATATTTATATATAGTAAAAAACAATTTGGCACTTAACAGCTTTTGTTAGTTGTTGCATCCCATATTATGTGGCAAGTTTATTTTATAAAACATTCCCTAATTTCTGCAGCAATAGTGTCATCAAACTGAATTTAAAAAAATACTTTATAAAATGAATTGACCAAGTCATGCAGGCACTGACAATATTGCATCCGGGACCCATTCACGCCTGGACAATGAACTGTCTCCTTGGAAAGGCCTGGCATAGACCAGGAAGAATTTTAAACTTCAGAAATTTTAAAAAAAGAGAGAACTGCTGATTGTCATGGCTTTAATAAGATATCAATTACCACTGTAATGTACCTCATCTGCAGCTTCTGAATGTCAAAGTTGTGTTCTATACAAGATATTTTACCAAAGCAAATTCATTTTTTCAGCAATTTATCTTTTCTAAAACTGATATCTAATTGTAAAAAGCAAGTTTTCTTTCTTTGCAGTGGCCATGGAGCTTGCTTTGATTAATAAATATCCAAAGTATCCCTGGGAAAGTGTGCGGACAGCTGACTGGTACACAACACAAAGAAAAAAAACCGGCTTTGATTTACAGATTGAATTTGACTGTTACATAAATGTGTGGCAAACCTGGCCTCGTGCCCTGACACAGAATATGAAAACCTCATACCTTCTTTTACCAACTCTTCTGCCAGAATGGAGAGTAAATGAGCCACACACAACATTCTTTAGAACCCCCACAGGCAAGGCTCCTTTCAGCAACTTTGATAGCATTGTGTTGACTTCTAATGGGTATTAAAAACAACAACAAAAACTCTCACTCTTTTTTCTGTCATGGTGGGAAAACACAAGCGACATTTCATATGCATGCTAACAACATACAAACATTCCATATAGCAGTTTCCTAAAAAAATTCCTGGTCTCAAATTTGCAACCAGAGGATAGATACATTAATACATTAATCTTTATGACAAAATGCTGTGCATAGAGCCATATTCTAAGAGAGAGAAAAAAGCTGTAGAAAACAATTAAAAATGAAGAATTCTATATTCAATTGACTAGAAACCTGATATTGCATAAAATTCAAATGATGAAGCAATCAAGCACTTTGAAGTCCCTGATTTCACACTAAGGTGGTGTAATTTGAATGGGAAGCAAAATATCTTTAAAGATAAATGCTACTAATGACAGACTTTCCCCCCATAGGAAGTGGGTAGAGTGGCATGGGAGTGAGAGATAGGAAAGGAGGAAAAGATGAATTTGCTCTACTATGAACAGAATGAAATTAGGTTGAGGTAGTGTATTCTACCAGCCAAACTTTATCATAATTTGTCTAAAACTCTTACTAGTGAACGGCATTGAGAAAATTCTACTACAAAGACTAGATTCTGAACACATTCGCATTCTAAGACAAGTTTTCAAATCCTAAACAGTAGTAAACAAGACTGTGTGTGCTTTCAGACAGATTTTTTAAAAAAGTTTTGATCCCTTTATATTTTGCCTGGACAGTTTTTTTTGTATGTTTTTGTAGTCACAGCAGACCTTTATTATTTGTCTGACTCAGGCCTTTCTTTTATAAAATCTCCTACTCTCTAATGGCCTCCGATTTAGAAAACGGTTCTGATGAACTGAAGGACGAGTGGCACTGCTGAGACCCTTCCCAACTCCACCAGTACCACCCAGAAAGTATGGCATGACGTACCTTAATCTAAGTTAACACAGATTTTAGCAACTTCCTTTAAAGTCACATGAGGGCTGCAACTTGACTCACTCATTTATTGAGTCTTTACATTACTAAGATAGAATGTCACCAAACAAATTTTATCTTAGTTTCAATTCATCATAATATAGTTTAAAAAATATTCTCAGCACAGAATACTAATAGTAAATGGAGACTAGCTGGCATACAGTACAATCTAACATTTTAGGCACAATCCTTAATTTGTTGGGCAGGGTTAGGCATAATATTTCCTTCCAAGTGCAGAAGAAAGCAGTCTTGGTATGTTTGGGCATGTTGATTTGCATATATGGATTTTTGTTTGTTTGTTTACCAAAGCCAGGTACACAGCAGTCAGATACGAGTTCCCTTCAGGGAAAATGCACCTTAGTATTTTAACTTTAGTATTTTCCATTATGCCAATTCTCACTTCCCTCTTCCTTTTGACACTGACTAGCCTCCATTTGTCTATAGACACATCTAACTGGAGGAACTAATTCCTCCCAGGCAGTTTGTCAACAGTTACATGTTCTCCCAAACAAGAGCTGAAGCTCAAGCGTCTAAGCATTATAAAACCACCAGAGTTACCACACAAAGCCCGGCACGCAGAGCAAGGTTTGGCTGCCATCTCTGTCCCCCTCGCATAGAGCCACCTTATGGTGCTTGGTCAGGAGCTCTGCTTCGGCTCTGCTTCCTCTTCAAGGTGAATGAACACGGATACGGAATAAGCCTTGCTGAAGCTGCAGGCGGAAAAGCTTGCAATTTGCAATACGTAAGGCTGCACACCCAGTGCGGCGGAGGTCAGATGGAAGGAGTGGTTTAGTGTGGTGCCAGGTTCCTGTGCTCCTTTTAAACTCACGCACGTAGTCGTAATTGGTACCTAAACCACAGAATAAGCAGCGATGAGAGAACATGCCTCAGAATCACTAGGAAACAGTCCTGACAAAAATCACCATCACATTCTTACCTGTGTCAAGATCTCCGATAACATAAATACTGGCTCCTATGGGTACAGCTCCATAAACAAAAGAGGAACTGGCGGGGATGCATAAATTCTGGTCATTAAGATAGATCCACCTGAAAACAAACAGAAGGACAAGATTAAGGACATCAAAGGATGACCACACATCTAGGAAGACTACAGCGACAATAAAACTTGGTGAGCCTCCAAAAGTACTAGGCATCACACCAGTAAATCTCAACCCTAGACTCCACCACTGATTTGCTTTCTTTTTATTTTATTTTACTTCTTTATTTTTAATCCTCACCTGAGGATATGCTTTTATTGATCTTAGAGAGAGAGAAAGGGAGAGGGAGAGAAAGAGAAACATCGATGTGAGAGAAACATCGATCAGGTGCCTCCCGTACGCACCTGACCGGCGAATGAACCTGCAACCTTGGTATGTGCCCTGATCGGGAATCAAACCTGCAATTTTTTGGTGTGTGGGACAACACTCCACCAACTGAGCCACCTGGCCAGGACACCAGTGATTTGTTTTGTCACTCTAGATATTAGTTTTGCCTGTCCTAGAATGTCATATATATTGAATCATAAAGAATATGCACTTTTCAATCTGGTCCTTTTGCTCGGCACAATGTTTCTGAGATTCACCCATGTGTTGCCTGCATTAATAATTTATTTTCATTTCCAAGTAGTATTCCATTATATGGGCATGCCAGCATGTGTTTACACAGTCACCTGCTAATGCTCATTTGGGTAGTGTCTAATTTTGGTTATTGCAATAATGCCATTTTGGACATTAAGAGTGCAAATCTTTTTTTGCGAGCCTATGTTATGAACTTGACTGGTTATATGGTTAAAAGTATATTTCACTTGATAAAAAAAATGCCTCACTATTTTCCAGTGTGTTGTGCCACTTTGCATTCCGGTTAGCAATGTGTAAGAAGTCCGTCTGCTTGGCATTACCGCCAGTCTTTGTCATTTTATCTGTGTTAGTGGTATGCACTGCTCTGCAGACTAATGACGTTGAACGTCTCTGCATGTGTTTAATGGCCATTTTATATCTTCTTTTGTGAAATGTCTGCTCAAAGATATGCTAAAATTGGGTTTTCTGTCTCCTATTGACTTTAATATTCTTTATGTTTGTGGACACAAGTCCTTTGTTAGATACATACATCACAAAAATTTTTCTCGGCATGTAGACTGCCGTCATTTTCTTAATGGAGCCTTTTGAAGAACAGAAGTTTCCATTTTGATGCATACCAGTTCATCCTTTTTTTCTGTTATAGGTCATGCTTTCTGTGTCCTTCTAGGAAATCTCTGCCTACTCCAAGGCTGCAAATATTTTCCTCCTGTGCTCTTTTCTGGAAATTTCATGGTGCCAACTTTTACATTTAGGCCTTATGATACATTTCAAGTCAATTTTTGTGTATGGTATGAGGTAAGAAAGAGGCATGGTTCTTTTTCTTTTTTGTATATGTATCTAGTTGTTCCAGCATCATTAGCTGAAAAGATGTTTCTTTCCTCTCTAAATGGCCTTAGCACTTCTGTTGAAAATCAATTTAATAACCACTAAAAGGATTTGGGGCTCCCTGAAGAAGTGGTTGGTTCCACAGCTGAGACAGAAAATACAAGATGAGCCTGGAGCATCCTGTGCTGGCAGAGAGGAAGTGCTTAAGTAAGGATGGGGTGTGTCAGAGGGACCCGGGGGCCGATTCCCAATGGCCAGAGCTGGAACAAACTGCGCAACCAAATAAGGCGCGTATCAGATTTATAACTCAGAATAAAATAAACACCAATGCATCCATACTGATATAAATAATTGAATACATTAAAAAATAGGGAGAAGGGACAGGTCTTCTTTAGGGAATTCCAGTTAATAAGTGTAGAAAAAATGAGAGTAATAGAAAAATCACCATAGGCAAACACCACAGGAATAACTATTGCAGGCTAGTCCACTGATGGGTGCTAAATTAGTGGTGAGAGTTTGAGGAAAAACAATGCATGCATATTCATAAATTCTCTCTTCCAAGATATTTATTAATTATAAAGGGAAAAATAGCAACTTCATAGTGGAGAAACCCAACAGACACCATTTTAACCAGGTAATCAAGGTTAGCATCACAGTAATACAACATATTTAAAAAAATTTTTTTTATTGATTTCAGAGAGGCAGGGAGGAGGAGAGAGAGATAGAAACATTGATGATGAGAGAGAATCATTGATAAGGCTGCCTCCGCACGCCCCTTACTGGGGATCAAGTCCACAACCTGGACATGTGTCCTGACTAGGAATCGAACCATGACCTCCTGGTTCTTGGTGGATGCTCAACCGTGAGCCACACCAGCCGTGCAGTAACACGACATATTGACATCATGTTCTACCTGACGTGGTGCAGAGAAGGACACAGCACCACTACTGTGGTATTCCTGCCCCCAAATGCCTAACCACAGCCAAATCACAAGATATCAGACAAACCCAAATTAAGAGACATCCTTTAAAAATCTGACCAATAATCTTCAAGAGTATTGTGAAAGATCAGGAAGACTGGGGAACCGTCATACATGAAAGGAGACTAAAGAAATGCAACAACCAAGTGTACTGTCAGACCCTGAGTTGGATTCTGGAGCAGAGGGAAAAAGACAGCAGGACACAAGCTGGTCAAATTCAAATAAAGTCTGTAGTTTACTTAATAATATACCAATGTTAATACCCTGGTTTTTAGATCTGAACTGTATTTATGTAAGATGTTAACGTAAAAAAAAGATGGGTGAGTAGCTTATGGGAACTCTATTTTTGCAATTTTTCTACAAGTCTAAAATTATTCCAAAATAAAAGTCTGGGTGTTTTTGTTTGTTGTGTTTTTTTTTTGCTTACACACACCTAGACTGCTGAATAATGATGCTCACTCATGGTAATCTAACCAATTTCCCTTTTATAGCTAAAGGCACAACCTGGTCAGATATTAGTCAGACCTTGGAAATGTCTCTAAACCACTGAGAATCACTGAAGTCCAGGCCGACACCCATTGCTGGAGCATACAGATGCACGGGCATTGCTCCTGTTATCCTAACTCTCTATGAAGTGTCTAAAAAGCCAGAGGTGTAGTTGAAAGCATCTCAATGCTAAATAAAAATGCAAAACTATCTCACTGCAAACAGCACCTTTATTTCAATGAATACTATTCCAAGATTGTTATAAAAAAGTAACTTCCATAATTTTGAATTTCAAGAAACATGAAAGCAAATGATTTGTCCAAGAGCCTATACAAGTCAGAAGCAAAGCTAATAAGAGCTGCCATATTTCTAAATACTTCATCTACCATTGAATCATCTAACACCTGAATGTTGACTAGTATCCAATAGTTGGCTGGGACTGGGAACAGTTAATAGGAAAAGTGAAAAATCTAACAGCTTTCACTGAAAAGTGGAAACAGGGACCTGAATAGGCCTTTGAAAGAAAAAGTTTGAAATGTCAAACTACAATAACTAACTGGCTTATTCACATTTTTTGTCTTTAGGGCTAAACATAAATATCTAAACCTCGACATTTAATTTTTTCCCAGGCTCTGAATCAAACAAGTTGAAGAAAATCCCTATGCGTTGTCAGCCGCTGAAACGCACCGCAGGGCCAATCCCAGAGGAGACACACACACAACTTTTCTGAACAAACCCATTAAAAGACCATGTGTGCTTAGCAGGTCAATGTCACTTCTAAATTAAGAAATTATGACTACATTATCTGCAGAAAAAGCACATCAGGATACAATGTTTTGGAGTAATTTTACAGAGTTGAAAACTTAACATAATCCTTCTCTGGAATAAGTAATGCTGAAGAAACTGGTCTATGTGGATGATGTACCAAAAGCAGATCTCTAATTCAGACTTCCTGGGTTTCAGAAAAGTCATCCTAGGTCAGTGGTCGGCAAACTCATTAGTCAATAGAGCCAAATATCTACAATACTTCTTCAAAATAGACTCGCCCAGGACGAAAACTGACTTCTGCGCATGGGCCACGAAGTTTCAATCGCACTGTACGCGCGCCCACACATGGTATTTTGTGGAAAAGCCACACTCAAGGGGCCAAAGAGCTGCCTGTGGCTCTCGAGCCGCAGTTTGCCGACCATGGTTAGGTGATCTATTTTATATAGTGCTGAGGCTTCAAATTTACTAAAACTAACATGAAAACTGGAGCACGTACTTGCTGTTGCTTATAAAACAGATATAAAAGGCATATGGTTTTCCATTTCTTTTTCTACCACCTATCACCTCGTTGACCTGGGACAATTTAGCTAACCCAGTCTTGTTCTGTCATCTTTAAAGTTAGGGATACCAGACACCATCACCAACCTCAAGTGACTGTTGAGAGGATGAAATGAAATTGCCAACATAAAGCACTTTGCATAGTGTCTAGTGCATAGCAGGCACCATTAAGTGGTAGTAGATTTTTATAATGGCCAAGGCAATGTTACGCCTTTAGTTACAAGGTTTTTAAACACAGGCTTATTAGACATGGAGGCTATAATGATGAGTCTGCTGGTAACTCAGGATTAAGAATGCTCCCTGAGAACAACACTTCAAAATACAGCAGGGCTCAATAGCAGCAAGCTTCAGAGAGAGGAGAGCAGGAGGGGAAACAGTCAAGGAGAGGAGAGAAGGAAGGAGGGATGGGGGAAAGAAGGGGAAATCAACTCAGGAGAGAGAAGGAAAGAGGGAATCCTGGCTGGTGTGGTTCCGTGGTTAGAGCATCAGCCCATGCACCAAAGGAAGGGTCTCGGGTTCGATTCCTAGTCAAGGGCACATACCTGGGTTGCAGGTTTGATCCTCACCCCAGTCAGTGTGCACGTGGGAGGCAACCAATTGATGTGTCTTTCTCACATCAATGTTTTTCTCCTCCCTCCCCCCCCCATCTCCCTTCCTTCCACTCTCTCTAAAAATCAAAAGAAAAAATATCCTTGGGTGAATATTAACCAAAAAAAAAAAAAAAAAAAAGGAAGGAAAGAGGAAGCTTTAGTGAGGTTTCTGCTTTTAGGGAGGAAGGAAGTTTTTTTTTATAAACATTTTTATTTATTTCAGAGAGAAAGGGAAAGGGAGAGAGAGAGAGAGAAACATTGATGAGAGAGAATCATTGACTGGCTGCTTCCTGCATGCCCCACACTGGGGACTAAGCCTGCAAACCGGGCATGTGCCCTGACCAGGAATTGAACCGTGACCTCCTGGTTCATAGGTCAATGCTCAACCACTGAGCCACGCTGGCCGGTCAGGAAGGAACTCTTAACAAGCTGATCCTCCTGCAAGGAACAGCTACAGGCTCTGGACAAAATACAACAAACAACTGCCTGAGGGCCTGGAGTGTGAACAAAAGTAGGCAGATTTGGGGAAGATGCTGAAAATTGAACAGGCATCTCACGTGGAGTATTTCCATTCCTTGGTAGCTTTACCAGAGGGCAGTGGCTTGGGGCAGCTGAAACCCCAAGAGAAAACCCTGCCATCTTTCTGGCCATTGGAATCAGGGTAGAGAGAGCAAACAAAATCACTAAAGTAAGTGTGTGTGTGGGGGGGAAGGGGGGGGGAAGGCGGGGATCTCCGAAAGATGAGAGGTAGAGAAGAACCCCTAAATTTATGGGCACTCAATTCTCAAGTCTTTGACCCCAGAACCACGAATGCTTGTAACTAAGGCTTGAAGGATAGACTGTGAGCGGCCGCCCGCTGTGGATGTGACAGCCTGCAGTCTGAGTCTAACCAAGTCCACTGCTTGCTGAAGATCTCAGAGCAGCACTCTAAAGCAATATAAGAGTCCTCAGGGCCTCGACAACGTTCAGTTCACAGCGTCCAGGATGCAATCCAAAATTACTCAACAAAAGAAGAGCCAGAAAAATAACTCATTCTCAAGGGAATAAATAATCAACAGACGCCAACTCTGCGATGACTCAGATGTTGAGATTATCTATCAGGCAGGGACTTGAACGCAGCTACCATCACTCTGCTCAGTAAGGGAGAGGAAAATGTGCTTATGATGAAACACAGGAGGTTTCAGCAGAGAAATAAAAAAAATGAAAAACTCTACCTGAAGAAGCTAGGAAAGGAGGAGCAAAATAAACCCTAAGTAAAAGGAAAGGAACAATATAGACAGAAGCAGAAGCCAATGGAATGAAAACACATGGTGGAGAAATGACCATCAACAGCTGGTTCCTGGGAAAGATAAACGCAGTGGTAGGCTTTGTCAACAGAGGGTGCTGGAGGGACTGCAGGCCTGTCCTGGTGCTGAACATGGTTAGCTCGATTTGGTAAGCAGTGGAGAAACAGGAAGACTCTTCCGCAGGAGACGATAGATCAGAGTGACATTACTCCTTCAGAAGCACAAGTGGGTGAGATGATTAGAGAAGACGGGTTAGGGTTAGGGGCTAATGACGTGCACAGAGGAAAGAGGATGCCTTGAAGTAGGAGCAGAGAAATAAAGGTGGGGTGCATGTAAAACATATTAGAGTTTAAACAAGAAGATAAGACTTGACAGCTGATGAGACGTGAGGCCTGGGAGAGATCAAAGAGGACCTTTTTGAGTATGGACAACAGGGAGGTGGTAGCATTAGTAAAAGAATGGGGGCATAAGGAACAGGAGTAGAGACACTGTCATTCTGACAAAGTCGTTCCTATGACTGGTTTTAACTTATGGCAATTTCTTTGCTCTCTTTCAGTTTGTTTTTTAGTCAGAAACACAGAAAATAATAAGATATGGCATTTTTCCAGGAAAGTTTTAACCTAAAAATAGGGAACAAAGGCAGGAAAGACAAGAGATTATCTAAAAACAATAAATCCGATTTTATACAGATTGTTCATCTGGCAACAGTTTCCAGAGAATGTAAATATAACATACTTGGAAACATCTGATCTTTTAAGGAATAAAAAATGTTATTTTATTTCTATAGATATTTATGGGAAAGCCTATGTTTAGCAAGATAGTATGGGAGCTGAGAAGGCTGACTCTGGGGCCAAAATATCTGAGTTCAAATGCAAGCTCTGCCACTGGCTATCCGTGTGTCTTTGGGCAGATACCTAACCTCTGTGTGTTTTGGTTTCCTCATAAATAATAAAAGGAGCAAAAAGAGTACCTATAACGCAGAGGGTTGTTGTGAAGATTAAATGAGTTGAATGAGTTAATACACGGTGCTTAGAGGTACAAATGTGTTTAGTGTCATCTAAACAAGTAAGAATTCTATATAAACTGACCCCCACACCATCCCCTGTGGATGAAAATCTGTGTATAACTTCTGTCTCTCCCCAAAATTAACTACTAATAGCCTACTGTTAACCAGAAGCCTTACTGATAACATAAACCGTCAATTAACACATATTCTAACAATAAACTGTATTCTAACAATAAACTAGAGAAAAAATGTTAAGAAAATCATAAGGAAGAGAAAATACATTTATATTGCTGTATGTATTTATTGGAAAAAAAAAATCTGCATTTAAATGGACCCACACAGTTCAAACCCATGTTGTTCAAGGGTGAACTGTATGCTATATTAACAACAGAAATTCAGCTTTCTTCTTTCTATTTATGAACTAACATTGAAGAGCTTAGAAATAAGAAAACTAAAGATACATGCATTTTATTTGGAAGTGCTTTTAAATAGCAAGAAAGGAGCAATTCTCTTATGTTTAACCATTATAAGCTGAAAGCAATACACTGACATTTAAAGCTTATCAACTATAGATATGAAACCTGATAGAAATATAAAGGGCAGACTGAGAAACTTTGCAGGCTGATTTAAGTCCTATATACTCAAAACAGGGACAGAAAATGGTAAAATCAAAAACAACCTTGATTATTCCAACCTTGATTATTATAGCTCTCTAGCTTGTACTATCTAAAAAGTAATTCAGCCATTATAAAAAAAAAAGCTTGTATCAATACTTTATCAGAAACCAAACACACTGTCCACTGCTTGTTAATGAAACGGGGCAGACTATCTCAAGATTCATTAGGGCAGGAAATTAATATACTACTTCATACCTTGGACTGTCAACCCTCATAGTAGTAGTATGTTAAGGAAGAGAAATCTAGAAAAGTCTGAAATTTTGCCTCCCAGCCCCACCATAGCAAACATCCTCTAAATTGTTCTCACACTTTGTCTAATAAATTCTCCTAAGATAGTTTACCCCTGTAATTGAAGGGGAAAAAAGGCTATGCAAATACCCTACATTTACAATACATTAAGTTAGGTAATATTTTTACATTTTACTAAAATCTTGGTAAGTGCTCACTGCTTGCTCTAATAAAAAATCATGAGCCCTGGCTGGTATGGTTCAGTTGGTTGAGCAACATCCCCTGCACCAAAAGTTTGCCGGTTTGATTCCCGATCAGGGCACATGCCTGGGTTGTGGGCTCAATCTCTTGTAGGGAGCATGCAAGAGGCAGCCCATCAGTGTTTCGTTATTATACTGATGTTTCTCTCTCTCTCCCTTCTTCTCTCTCTAAATCAATAAAAATTCTTTTTAAAAAATATGAAATTAAACATTATATTATGGCACCCCCTTCTGGTAACAGGACTGAAACACTATCACAAGATTAATTTTAGCATGGCAGCTTCCCTGCAGGATTTGAACATATTACTGCAATAAGAATACTCTTTAGTGGTTATAACAACAACAACAAAAAATATCACAAAAACAAAAACGCTATGAGAGAAGGGAAGAGGGGGGAGGTTGGGAAGAATGCTACCTACTCCATAAGACATTTATGCAGCCTGTCAGAGGTAGTCTCTGGCACAACACTTCACTCAGTTAATTAGCATTTTGCTGAATGTCTAATACAGGCCAGTTGTAAAGCTGAAGGTAGGATTTAAAGTTGGCATGGTTGTACCATGCCCTGATGGAGCTTACGGTGAACAACTACAATCCAAGAGTAAGACATGTACAGAGTATTATGAAATCACAGACAGAGGAACCCAATCAGACCTCTAGAGAGTGATAAATAAGCAGAGTTTTGGAAGAGGCCAAATTAACTGGATAAATGTGGGAAGGGAAATTTTAGGCAAAAGAATAGTATAAAAGCACAGATAATCATGACATATTTTGGGGGAAAATATACTGGGTTGAACAGTAGCAGAAAAAGAAGCCAAAGGTCATATCACAAAAGGCCAAATATGCTAAGTTAAGGAGTTCAATATCTAGTATGCATTAGACATAGATCCTAAAAAGATGAGATAATTCTGTTAACATTGTAATTAGCTACTTACTAATAGGAAAGGAGCAAAGGGAAGGCCAGACATTATAAGCATGGCTATCTGGCAACTTCACCAGGAAGCTGCAATTTTACACTGGGAAGGGGTTCAACAAAGGGGAAGATGGATGCATGTAGAGTCAAGTTGGGGTGACATAAGGAAAATACTGGTCTGTCACTCTAACCTGGGAACAAAGATCATTGGCTTTGGGTAGAGCCAAAGCAAGCCCATGAAAATTTGGGAGTACAAAATCCCAAGACAAAGGAATTCTCTCTCTCTTTGCTCCTGCTTCTTTGCACTTGCCCATGTTCTCTCCATAGCCAGGCCATGCTGACCCCACACACAATGGATTGCAGATGGAAACACAAGCTAACCCAGCCTGATGCTGGACTGTGCAAATATGGAACGAAGGCTCTGGGTTGTGGCTTTAATTCTAACTCTACTAAGATACAGCTGGACTTTTTCCTGTGGGACAAAGGGAGATGGGATCTTGGAAACTCAGGGGTTTAATTCATGCAAATAAGTATCTTTCATTCTCCTATGCAAGTCTCAGAAAATTCCTTTTCTCATGACATCACAAGAAGCCCACTTCCACCAGCAACAGGTGGAAATAAGAGAACACCCCACCAATAACAATTCCATGAAGTAACTTGAAAACAAAACTAAATAAACCTAAAACATGACTTTGAAAGGAAAAAAAAAATTGCAGAAGCTACGTGAAACAATTCATAATTACCTTTTAAACTCATCATGGTAGAATTCAGACTTGCAAGTTACCATCTCGCTACCCTGGATGTCCTCGCGACTTCTGACTCCCCCAAATACATACAGTTCCATGGCAACTCCACAGGCTACAGCTCCAAATCTGAAAGGCCACACAGAGCTGATTAGGCATTTGATTTACAACTCATGACCCAATTCCCTAATTCCTCTTCTGCTTGTTTTAATTCTGCAATATTCAGTGTTTGGTGAATATGCATTCTTCCTTTTTCAGGAAATGGATTATTCATTTAATTTGATATGAACTAAATGCCAAGTCAAATAAAAGGTTCATTTAAACGAAATGAAGAGCAAAAGCCAGTTTCGGGGGAAAGTCCATATGCACATTCTTTCACCTTCTCTCTTTCAGCGGACATATAGCAGTCCATTGCTGGGTCCTTGGGTCATAACATTCCACAGATTCAAAAAGTTTTCCATATGACCCTCCACCCATGGCATAGATTTTCTTTTTCATAGCTGCATAGCAGCCAATCTGAAATAAGAAAGCAACAGTGGGGAGGCAACATTTATTATTAAAGTTAGAGAGATTAATATTCACTTATCTAAGAGCACTGTAAGACTTCTAATAGTAAAACTATGGTGTTTTCCAATATTACAAATGATTTAAAAATGAGAAAAAGAGCAAGGTACTACACATATTATTAATCCTCAGAAAAGAATTAACTTCATCTAATACTATTTCACTAAGATAATTAATAACCCTCTTATTCAGGGAACTTTCCAGTCTCTCTATCTTTTCATCACTGTTAAAGATTCCAAGATTTAATTCTATGGAGCAAGATGTCACTCAATTCTTGCCCAAATAATTTAGTTGAAAGGGCACAGACAGTAAGAGAACATATTATGAGTATATGTCAGTATTTTAAAGGTGGACATACCTACAGCACTGGACAAAACTCTGGTTTGATGATAAACTCACTGCTCTCCCAGAGAGTATAAATAAAGACAGATGCTCTATAGAGCCAATGTGACCATTTGTGTCTTTTTATTCTACCCAGTGAGCAATGGTAGTTCTTTACCTCAAAATTAATGTTTCTCCCTCGTCCTGCATGATGATTAAGAAAATAGGTTTAGAAGATGTGGTTGCTTCCTAAGTTAGTGCACTAACAAAGCATTTATCAAGTGTAGGCCTTGGACACAGCAGTGCCAGACAGCCACTGTTAGGTAAATGCTCACACACCCTCCATTTCCCACCTTGGTGTATGGCTGATAGCAAAGGCAAACTACCAATAGAAGCAGAATTCTGTAACATTAATTCTTTTAACACTATCAATTGTATTAAAAGACTTATGTAGGAAATAAAAAAACATCCACTATAAAATCCAGTTTGTAAACACAAGATATGGTTCTCACCTTTCTAACCATGGTCAAATCAGGTTGCTTTGTCCAGGTTTTAGAATAAATATCATAACACTCCATGGAAATTAGCTCTTTTTCACCATCCTCTCCTCCTAAAATGTAAAGCATTCCATCGATCTCCACAATTCCAAAGTTATGTCTTGCCTGAAAAGACATCAAAGATCTTTGTATACAAAAGGCTGTCATAATGAAAGCCAGTATTATGGATTTAATAAAAATTACAGATATGTTCCAGCAAGGAAGTCCATGCTCAAAACCCTCTCTCTCAAACATTTCTGCTTTCCCTAGCAGCTCATTCTGTCTATCACAATAGACAGAGAACCCAAGCCTAGAAATTTCTCAAAACAAGGGAATTACCTGCATGGTAAATTCTCCGTCAGAATCAGTACTTTTTACTCACAATAGCTCACAAATAGAAAAACACACACATTAACTTCTGGTTCAGTAAGATTCTTTGTGCAAGTGTATCCAAGTTGATGTGTGAAAGACAAGAACCACAGTAACAGGACTGCCTGCAGCAGAGAAGCAGTGTGGGAAACAGGTCTGTGCTAAGGCTATGGCAATGACAGAACCTGGAGGCATTTCACATTCATTTGTCAATATTTTCTTAGTGTCCCCTATGCACCCAGCATTATTCTAGCACGGAAGATAGAATGTCAGCCAAACACAGACAAACTCCCCTGCCATCAAGAGTTTGTGTGAACGCTCTAGTTGGTTTGACTTGGTGGATAGAGCATCAACCTGAAGACTGAAGACTCCCAGGTTTGATTTCGGGCAAGTATCTCAGTTGCAGGCTCAATCCCCAGCCCTGGTCGGGGCATGTGTGGGAGGCAACCAATCGATGTTTCTCTCTCTGTCTCTCCCTCTCCAATCCACTCTCTCTAAAAAAACCTATGGAAAAATATCCTCAAGTGAGGATTAACAAAAAAACAAAAAGAATTTGCGTGAACTTTGCCGTATGTGAGAAGGTGTTACATGGTATGAAGAGAAAGAAGGTAGGGTAGGGGAGACAGGAGAACTGATGGGCCAGAGGCAAGGTTGCCCTGACAAGGTGCCATACGGGCAAACATTGAAGGAAGCAAAGAACATGGGTATCTGGCAAAGATTCTGAAGCAGGAGTATTTCTAGGTCTGAGAGACTGCGAGGAGATCAGACTGAGCAAGGGGATGGCACAGAGAGGAGAGCTGGGAGGGCAGGCACTGGCCTTAGGCAAGGGGGCCTGGCAGGGTTGCTACATTTTTTCTTATACTCAAATGCAAAACAAAAGTGCCAAAGGAAAAAAAAACATGCCGAACAAATAAAAAAGCAATGTTTTACCTCATTCATTGGTGGCAATGCAGTCCATGAATTTGCATCTGGGTCATACTTTTCTCCTGAGCTCAGGGTCTGCTTATTTTCATCTTGGCCCCCAAATACAAACAAAAATCCTTCTGCAAAAATCAAAGGAGACACACAAGAAAGTTGAAACAAATCTTCAATACCCACCTCTGGTTGAATATAAATGCCACAGCTGTAGAGAGAGAATGTGGAGAAACCTTCTCTGATAACAACAACAGATTTGAGATCTTTATCAGATTCCATTCCTTCCTTGGTGAGAGAGGAAGTGAGTCACTGACCATTTTACTTCACTCAGTATGTTTGAATGGATTCCCTCTACCCTACAGCATAAAAGGAAGACACCACCCACTCAACCCACCAAGCAGCTCTGGGTTATCTCAGTTCATCTATTCTGGGAAACTATTCAATCTTTCTTTTAATGGCTTTGAGGGGATGAAAAAGACAAATCTAAACTCCAGGCCCACAGCAAATGTGCCTCTCCGAAGTTTTAACCCTCAGGATGAAGTCCAACCAGAACTAGAAACCAGATTTAAATCTCCTTGCCTATCCAGGAAATCTCAAGATTTGAATTTGATTAATAGTAATTCCAAATTAATACTGTACTCAGGTATACACAGAAACTAGACTCTATGAAGCAGACAATAGGAGGTAGTCTTGCAAAGAATTCAAATTTCAAATATTGAAATAATCAAAAGACTTAAACAACAATGCTTACTATGTTTAAGAAATAATGACAAATTTGAAGATAACTCTTTGGAAATAGGACTAAAGAAGTGACTAGCAGATTTGAAAAAGATTTAAAGAAAATTTCTAGAAATAAAAAATAAAAAACAGATAAAATTAAAAGTTCAATAGATGGTTTTAATGGCAGATCCATCATATTAAAGCGATAATTCATTAAATGGAAGATAAATAAAAAGAAATAATAAAGAAAGCAATACAGTGTGGCAAAAACATAAAAAACAAAGCAATGGTAGGAGGCAGAGGATGGAGTAAAAATGTCTAGCCATGTTTAATCTGACTTCCAAAATCAAAGGAAGAAAGGAGAACAGAGGCAATATTTTGAAGACATAATGAATAAGATCCAGATTCAAAAGGCTGAGCCACAGAGTCAAGATGACCAACAATCCCCAAATATGGTAAAATGTCAAATAAAATGTGCATGTAAGCACACTGTAATGAAATGGCAGAAAACTAAGGAAAAATATTTTAAATACAATCCTGAGAAAAGATAGATTTTTAGGCTGACAACAATAACAGCCAGAAGTTAGTAGAAAGATATTTTCAATGTGCTGAAAAATAGTAAATACCAACCTTAAATTCTATACCTAGCAAAAATATCCTTTAAAAATGAAGGCATGCCGAAACCGGTTTGGCTCAGTGGATAGAGCGTCGGCCTGCGGACTGAAGGGTCCCAGGTTCGATTCCAGTCAAGGGCATGTACCTGGGTTGCGGGCACATCCCCAGTGGGAGATGTGCAGGAGGCAGCTGATCGATGTTTCTCTCTCATCGATGTTTCTGACTCTCTATCTCTCTCCCTTCCTCTCTGTAAAAAATCAATAAAATATATTTAAAAAAAAAAATGAAGGCAAAGTAATGATACTTTCAGACAAATAAATGTGAAGAGTTTGCTACCAATAGAAACACAATGAAGAAAATTCAAACGGATGAACTTTAAAGAGAAGGAAAATTATCCTAAATGGAAGGTCTGAGGAGCAAGGAAGAAAAAACAAAGTGGTAAACATGTGGGTAAGATTACACAATCTACCTATAGATACATATATAAAACAGATTAATGAAACATGTACATATGCAAATATTGTATTTATAAATGATCATGTATTTTAATACTACTAAACTAGAAAACATGAAAAATAGAGTATAAAAGTACTGGTTAACTTTAGGCTTTGATAATAGGCTCTGGTTTCTAAGGAAACCTTCAAAGGAATATACACAAAGAATATAACTTCTAAACTAGTATAGAGGGAAAGAATAAATGACCAAAAAAGTCAATCAATTAAAAAATGCAAGAAAAGAAGAAATGCAGAATGGCTGGGCAAATAGGAACTACTTCAATCATTTCACAACCTCAGTCCATACAACTGAACACAATTCCTCTCCTCATGGTTTAAAGTTTCTGAAATGTCAAACTCTCTAGGAAACTTTTGAAAATTAATGATATAGGAACCTTTGTGATAGGTGTGCATGTGAGAAAATTCTAAATATGTATATACATCATGGGAGGAAAATTTAAGGAAGCAAATTCTGAAAAGGTAGACCAGAGAAATCAGCCCTACATCTTACTGGCTATACCACTCCATCCAGCTGTTTATTTTGACAATAATTTCAATTAACCTGGCACCCAGAAAATTATTCCATTTCTACACTATAGTATAGATTTAGCCATTTCTATAACATGGTATGGTGTGATAAAGATTTATTTATTTTTTTAAATATATATTTCTTTATTGATTTCAGAGAGGAAGGAAGAGGGAGAGAGAGATAGAAACATCAATGATGAGAGAGAATCATTGATTGGCTGCCTCCTGCACACACCCTACTGAGGATCAAGCCCGCAACCCGAGCGTGTGACCTTGGCCAGAATCGAACCTGGGACCCTTCAGTCCGCAGGCTGACGCTCTATCCACTGAGCCAAACTAGCTAGGGCGATGTGATATAGCTTTAAAAAATAAAGTAAGGATCCCAGAAGGACTGCTGACAAAAATTAGAATGAAGTAAAATGGTACTTGTGGGGTGAACCCAAAAGGCAGATCCAAGATTAAGAGAAAGGAGGCTAACAGGGGTAAGGCAGCAAAGACAACCTTTTCTATCATTTCCTTGAATAAGAGCTTTGAATACCATGGAGCTATTTTCAAACTTGTAAAGGTCAACTAAAACATCCTTTCTGTGGTAAAATAACTTTATGCCATTGTTAAGTAATGTCTTCTAGAGTCTCATATGAAATGCCTGCTTTTACAATATACTCTTATTTTAGACACAGTTATATATTGTGATTCTAAATTGAATTTCAAAGATGATGTGACTATCACAGCTAAGAGAAATTCTGTGTTCCAAGTATGGTCACACAGCTCATTGCTCTTCTACCAGTTAGGTCAGTGGTCGGCAAACTCATTAGTCAACAGAGCCAAATATCAACAGTACAATGATTGAAATTTCTTTTGAGAGCCAAATTTTTTAAACTTAAACTATATAGGTAGGTACATTGTTATTAACTTAATTAGGGTACTCCTAAGGCTTAGGACGGCCTGTCTGCACCGCATCTCCCGTTGCCTGACCGACACCCCCCACTTCTTCTAACGCCACTTCTTCAAAATAGACTCGCCCAGGATGAAAACCGACTACTGCGCATGGGCCACAAAGTTTCAATCGCACTGTATGTGTGTGCCCGCACGTGGTATTTTGTGGAAGAGCCACACTCAAGGGGCCAAAGAGCCGTATGTGGCTCGTGAGCTGCGGTTTGCCGACCACTGAGTTAGGTCATTAATATACTAAAGTCTGAAAAATTGCTATGTATTATAATTTGGGGACAACAAGGACTGACAGAAGACACTCTTCTTACCATAGTCTTAAAAGTTAGAAATACATTAAAAATGTCATCACAGAGAGATAATAAAATTGTCTCTTTAAAAGGCTGTCAGCCCTGGTTGGTGTGGTTCAGCAGTTAGAGCATCAGCCAGTGAAGTGAAGGATCAAAGGGTCGAGGGTTCGAATCTGAGTCAAGGGCATCTACCTCGGTTGCAGGTTCGATCCCTGGCCCCAGTTGGGGTGTGTGCAGGAGGCAACCAATTGATGTGTCTCTCTTACATTCATGTTTTACTTTCTCTCTCCCCCCTCCCCGCCACCATCCCTTCTACTCTGTCTAGAAATCAATGGGAAAAATATACTTGGGTGAAGATTAACCAAAAGAAAAAATAAATAAATAAATAAATAAAGGCTGAGTTGTTCTGCACAACCCAGAAATTACACATTACTTGATCATGTGTTTAAGTAAAATTTGCCACAGAACAGTACCTGCTGAGAGCACTCCGTGGTTAATTCTTGGCATGCTTAACGGGGCCAGTTCAATCCAAAGCTGCCTATTAGGGTCATAAAGAGGGCACATGCAGCGCATTGCTGCTGTTGGTTTCCGTGAACTAAAAAGGGAAATAGATTAGCAGTTAATATGTTTTATGTAGTTCTGCTACAATAACTATGACTACAATAACTATGACTAGTTTGCCACTCCAAAAAATGTTTAAACCATTTAAAAAATCTACTGCTATCATGCTTTAGATACTGAAAAATATTATGAATTCTTGCTCACACAAAGATCTCTCTTCCCCTATACCGTTTTCAAACAACACACACCCATACTTACACTCTTTCTTCTCCACCAACGGTCACAATGCACTCTGAGTAGCCCCGGGGTTTGAAACTGGCCAGCATTGCCTCTCCTTGTTGTGGCTGGCTCAGTGGTATATTGCTGCACTCTTTGACAATTTCTCGTACTAATGGTTCATTCAGCATCTGTTCCCGTAAGTAGCTGGAGTCTAATCCTGAAACCCACAGTGCTGACATAACGTCCTTCATGTGGACCTGCAGAAGAGGGTAGAGAGGATGGGGAGGAAAAATGGAGAATGCAATACATAGCTTTTAGAATATGGATTTCTCAACTCATGGAACACTGAAATTGTTGATAGACTATCACAAGGCAAGTTATAAATGCTAGTACTCCGTGAATATGCTTACCAGCCCTGTTCCTTTATATTTCCCATAGCCTTGATTTTTTAAAAAGTTTAATTTAAAAAAATCATCAATTCATATTTATATTTGATGTATCACTGCAAAGTTTCAAGCAGCTTTCTTTACACCCTATAGGGTTCCCATAGCAATAAGAAAACTTGCAAGAACTCTGCTACAATTTGCTTGAATGTGCTGTGAATTAAATCATGTTTATAGAAGTATTATATACAGTAATAGCTTGATACAATATGGAAAACCAGTTAGTGAAAATGTTTCAACATTATTATTATATGAAAAAATTAGAAAAGACAAAGTTTAAAAAAATCCTGAGGACTATATAATTATTTCTTAAGTAATTATTGTTAAACATATCTAACATGTAAATATGAACTATATATTTTTCATGATCCATCATTAAATTTGAACCAAATGATTATAGCATTCTACATACATAAGGTGAAACTCTTTAATGATAGTCTTTCTTGGTTTTGAAATAGTCATTTTAAGGTATACTATTCTATGCCCTGAGCATTAAAAGGCAACAGTTTTTACGGCATCATGTTCAGATTAACCAAAGGATGAAAAACTGCCTCTTGTTTCCCCAGCAGTCAGTTGACCTTAGCATCCTCATCACTTTCCGGCAAGAAGAGGGTAAGGGAGAAACTACTGATAGTGGACTCAGTGAATGGCACAAGCTGGAAAACGTTTTATCTCCTTTCCTAACTTACCCAACTAATGTGGAAAATAGAACATCAACTGTATAACTATGCTGAGTCTACAAGCATAGTTTCTGGACATACTCACAGGCCTACCGAATTTACATAATTATACAGTAATCACTAAAACATAAGTCAATGGTTATCAAGAACTTAAATTAATAACGCAATTGTACATTTGAAAACTACTCTAAAACCTAATGTAGTTTTCACTGTAAGTATAGTAATTGAAGCTAGCATCTAATTGATAAGCACTGGACTTAAAGCCCTGTGACTTTGCTCCCTCCCCCAGTGCATCAACAATTTGGATCTAAAGCCTGATATTCTTGAAGACCCTTCCTTCCCAGGCTCACTCCCAGAACCTTCCTATTTGGACCTGCATTATCATGAAAACTTCAGAGTGCTCTCCTGCTTTCTCCCCAGTGGTGTCAATCACTCCAGGGAGAGCCCATAGCCCTCCCCCCTGTGCCAGAGCTCCCAGTGCCCCCCTTGCCCTGCTGCCTGCATCAGAGTTGCTGAAGAGGTTAGCCAATGATTTAGGGTGATGAAAGTGAGTCTGGGGACACTGCATTTCGATAATCTCCAGCTTAACCTGGAAATGCATTTTCCCATAAAGAACAACATACAGAGGACATTATGTTCTGAAACACCAACCACTTTAATGATCCTATGGGAAGATGCTTTACGGAGATCTTTTAGAACGTAACTTTGCAAGTCTTTCACGTTGAAGGAGAAAGACATCGATAATTTGGATTAAAAGTAACTAAATCAATGAAATAAGTAAAAAGGCAAAGTTAGACAACATTATAAACTACAAGTACCTTTCTCATTTCGGTATCATGTGCTATCCATCGAATTACTGCCTCAAATACGTATCTTTCATTGCCAACGTTTAACTTCTCAAGAGAAATCACTTCCTTAAGCTTCTGAGGACTCAGTTCTAGGAATTCTTCTGTGCTGCTGACATCTCGAAAGTGAGTCTCCAGGTATTCCGTGGCAAGGTAATGCACGTGGTGCAGGCAGTAGTGAAGTGCAAAGTCACGGATCCCGATGCAGTTCTCAGCAGCAATGCAGCCTTCTAAAAACTCGCAGCACAGAGTCTTAAGATCTGTCAGCAGGAGCAGGTCCGCTGCCTGGACAACATCTTGGATGGTATCTTCATTTAGCCGGATCTGTCAGAATTTCATAAATATTTTACATTTGAATGTATATATTTAAAACTCAAACCACGAATCTATTAGGCTGAACCACATGAAAGCTCCATTTTTGTAGGTCAAAGATGATAAAATATTGGCAATTTCATATGGTTTAACATTGTACTTTTATCCAAGAAGAGTTTAAGTGCCCCAAGGAACCTCTGAATAACATAAGCAGTGGTGGCTGGTTAACTTTTCCTACCATGTCCCTTGCTTTACCAATATTAACTAACAATAACTCTTCAAGGTGAGCTGTCCAGTTGGCTTACTTCTATACTCAATTTAGAGAAAAACCTTAAATGATTGAAATGCTTAGGAAATTGAAAGTTCTGTATTCTATGGTAAACTGAAGGTGATTTCTTTAAATAGTAGCACCAGGGCTATGGGAAATGTTGCCTCCAATATATTAAGTTCATGCCTTTGCCAAATGGTACGCAAGCTGAATGTAAGCCCCTTGAAGAAAGGGGCTCCATACCGCCTTAGAAGCCTTGTCTGAACACCAAACACTGTACTCGGCTTGGTAAAACAGATACAATTTGGTCCCAAAGCTACTTTCTGGAAAGAATCCCTTTTATAAGACTTTAATAATAATTTTGAACATTTACTTATCCTTAATTTTCTTAGTTTTCTGACTGATGCTTCTTCCTCCACCCACTTGACAGTTTTTCTATTCAACAGTAAGACGACGTAAAGAAACAGGCCTCTAAGATATTGCCATGATCACAAGTGGTCCCAAGAATGGTGTTCATAACTCCATTCGGAAATGGGAGGAGAGGGCTCAGAGTACAGAACAGCAAGAAACACTTTACTACATTTTACACATTTGCACCACAGATTTAAAAAAATGTATAATTGCCAACCACCTTGGAAAATGAGCAACAAAAGTAGGAAGAAGTGTATGGGGTAAGCTACAAGTATGGAGAAATTTCCCATTTACATAACATTAAATTTAGCCACAAGACAGTGGATAGCTGTAGACTATTCAAATGTAGGCATGTAAAAAAACAAAAACAAAAAACCCCCACTAAATTCTATTTCAGTAAAACTAAACTGCCATATCAGGAGTTTGCTATAACTTACCTTGTAACTATGATTTTAAAACCACAATTAATTTAAATTGGGAACAAAATCTGTAAATAAGGCTTCAGGTTTCAAATCTAAGCCTTAATATGAGTAAGCTCTTACTGGCTCATAAGTTGTTACAACTGCTGCTGAATCAATTTTACAAGTTAGGTAAGAGATTGGTCCTAAGCCTGGTTTTCTCCAGGATTTTAAGGGCTGCCCTAAAATTAATTTAAATTCATTTATTTTTAACAATCATACAACACATAACCTTACATCCACACACCCACCACCTAGTGTTTACAGAAACGGAGATAACATCATGAAACTAAACCAAAAACTTCAAAAAGGATGACAATCGCCGAGTTTGACTAGACAGAATGAATATATTTAGAGAAAGTGAACAGCACACTCAGAATATTTAGAAACATGTAGGAGACACAACCTTTACAAAAAGGAAAAGTAACATATGATGAAGAAGGAATAAAGACAGTCAGAAACAAGCTCTCAAAGAGTAAAGATAAAATGCATTCTCACTAACTTCTTCCTGTTAAAAAAAAAAAATGAGCCCTAATTCACACCTAAGATTTTTCTTACGAGTCCTCATGCTATACTTTCAATCATAGCAGGCAGAGGGTTGGAAGAGGGCAAAGAAAAGAAGTCTAACCACATATCACTTTCCTCCCCAGGTTTCATTAAACCCCCGGAAACATAAGTGGGAATAAAGGGAAATCAGAAAGGAAGAATAGGGGTGGTGCAGGGATACTGGTCCTGCTCAGGCAACAGGACCAATCATGAATACAATGCAGGTGCCTGTCATTTGTGAGTCTAGAACTCTTTATTTCTAAATATCCCCCCTGCCCAAGGAAGTTCCCATTTCCATGCTATGGAGACAGAATGAGTTTCTCAACAGAATGGGAAAAAAGCAAAATTGAAATTAAGATTTAAAAACAAAAAGACAGCAGTGAAGGGAGCATTCCACGGTCTTCACATCTCATGCTAGAAGGTGGAGCTCAGGATGTACAATAAAAAACTGGGACTGGGGAAGATCTTGCTCAGTCTGCCTTTCTGTAAAGAGCAGAGCCCCGGAAGAACACATGTGGGCGCCATTAACAGGAGCAGAGACCAGGCAAGCACATGGCGACAGAAGATGAAGATGAAGGTTACGTGGTCACAGAATGGATGAAAGGAGACCCTCACCCTGAGCTTGAGAAGCCTCTACTTAGTCTTCCTTCCTTTGTGTCTCATCATACCTGCCCACTGAAGATGTAATCCAGGATCTCTCTCATAACCATTACCGATATCCCTTCAAGTTCAATCTTATAGGTTGATCCATCATCTTTTGGAGGATTATAGTTTAACTTTGTCCTAAGAAAGGAAAAAAAAATGTAAAATTTCTATGAAAGAACAAATAGGCATAAATAATTATGCACTAAATATTCTATAAAGTTTATGATAATTACCAGTATATGAACCCCACCTAGAAAATTCAGTTTGTTAACTTTAGATTAATATATATATATTTTATAACTTTCAACTCCTAAACATTTGTTCCCGGACTCAAAATGCTACTTCTTAAAAACACACACACAAAACAAACAAACAAACAAGACAACCAGATAAGATCCATGTGAACAAGGATCTCTACTACTTCACCTTGGGAACCTCAGGTCTTTCAGCTTATTTTTTCATGTATTTAATTATCCAATTATTTTTTTAATAAAGTAACTAGGACCCCACAAACCTACCAATCAAAACAAAAGCTATGATGCTGACAACAACCTGCTTCTAACCAATGTTCCTCTTCACCACTCCATTCTTCTACTTCCGCCATCTGAAGTAACTATTACCCTAAATTCTATGTTTAATTTTCCCTTGTGTTCTTTTTGTATCCATGAAATATATATGACACAATATTATTGTATTCATTAAATATATAATATACACATATTTATTATTGTATCCATGAAATATAATAATATAAACATCCATGAAATATATAATATGTAAATAAATGTATCTACATATAATTTTAAGTTGTTAATTTTATGAAAGAGTTTCATGTTGTCTATAATCTTTTGGGGCTTTTTTTCATTTAATATTACATTGCTAAGAGTCATTTATATTGCTGCATATCACCCTGGTTCTCTGTTCTTTCTACTGTACAATGCTCCACTTTCCTGTTGATGGGCCTCTGGGCCATTTCCAGGTTTTCAGTATTGTGAACAGTATTGCTAGGACTATTTTCGTACATGTCTTCTTCTGTATTAGGCAAAACAAATTTCCCTTGGTGGTACCTCTGGGAGAATTATGCTAATTATTCTCCAAAGTATGAGATGATAGTAAATGATTCTCCAAAGTAGTTAGAGCAGTTTATAGCCTCATCACGTATGTGCAAGAGAACCTGTAGACCCACAAATTCTACGACACTTGAATCTGTCATACTTCCTAAATTCTGCCTATCTGGTGAGTGAAATATAATCTCTCATTGCATTGTGATCTGCATTTCCCTCACAATCCAGGTGCTGAACATCTCTTCTTATGTTTGTGGTCACATGTATTTCCTCTTCTGTGGAACACATGTTCAGTTCCAATTTCTTCTTCAGTTTTTTACTGAGTACATTGTCTTCCTCATATTGAGGTGGAGAAGTCCTTTATTATATTCTTGATATTAATCTTTTGGCAGACTTGACACTTAACGTGATGAACGATAATTTTTCATGGTCAATGCTTTTTTGTGTCTTGTTTAAGAACTGGTACCTTAGCCAAAGTCTAAAAGATACTCCTAATTTAGCAGAAGAAAGCTGAGACACTGTCTAAATTGCACTTAAGATCCCCCAAAGGATCGGAATTGGTAGTATGAGGAAGCTGTGAATACTAGTAGAAGAGTAAAAGATGAGCTAAAAATAGAAGAATGGATTGAAAAAGTCTTAAGAAATAGTTGAATTCCCAGATCCTTCTTCCACATATACACACAACTCTCCTGCACAGTTCAGTAAGGCTCTCCCCAGTTCCAATGGAATATAAGTGGTTTATATTCTGAAATATAAAACTGAGGGTGGGTCTGTGGGCAGGATGATATTAGGCTCATTTGAGGTAGGTGTACCATGCCAAAAATGGAGTTAAGAGAGTGTTTATATACTGAATGCTGAGACTACCAATCTTTTTTCTCATCTCTGTTCCTAAAATGCTGAAAGCCAGACCTATGGCCTCCATGCAAGAAACTGGAAGACTCTTTTGAAGGATTTGATCAGCTCAAAAGGAAAGACTTAAAGATACGGACATAGATCTGCCCCTAGAAAACAACCTTGCTTGATCATGCAACAGCGAAACCCACAGTCAATAAGCCTAATTTACAGGCTCTGGGCTTCCAATACATTATGGAGCAGCACTTCTGAAACTTCTTCATGTCACACCACTCGTAGAAAATGTAACCTTACTTTGGGGCAGACAGATGAGGCTGTGCACAGGCCAAGGGTGGACAGAGGCCCTGCCTCGCCAGATGCTGCCCAGACACTCTAGGACTGACACCATCATTATCTTCACACACTTGTAACAGTTTTTTTTTTTGTTAATCCTCATTTGAGGATATTTTTTACATTGATTTTTAGAGAGTGGAAGGGAGGAGGAAAGACAGAGAGAAAGAAATATCGATGTGAGAGAGACACATCGATTGGTTGCCCCCTGCACATACCCCGACCAGGGTCAGGGATAGAGCCTGCAACCAAGGTACATGCCCTTGATCAGGAATAGAACCCGGGATCCTTCAGTCCTTGGGCCAATGCTCTGTCCACTGAGCCAAAACACTAGGGTTCTAACCTAGATTTTTTTTTTATAACCAGCCAGCCTACCAATCAAATGTCAGCAGAGAACAGGCAATTTCAGCTTCACAAGGTCTCAAAACAATTTATCCCCCATGAAACCTTTCTCAGAATGATGCTGGAAAATGTGTCCCAACAAACAAGGCAGTGCATCAAGGCAGTCAGTGCATTTAGTATCCCCTGGATATTAAACAGGGAATAATGAAGGAGGGTGTTAGGATAACAGCTATGTACCAGTACAAGGAAGCCAGTCGATTTTGGTGTCAGTAGAAGACCTTGGAAGACCTCAAAGATGAAACTGATGGAATATATAATGACCTGAAGGTATAAAGAGGATATTCAGATAACTTTGTTTCCTCCCCATATTTCATATCTGCTATTCCTGCCTCTTTAGTTTCTACTGAACTGTTTTACTCAAAAGGTATTTCATTGCTTACTTGTTGTACCCTAGCTCTATCTATATGCCTAAGACTTTCATTAAAAATGAAGAAAAATTTCAGTCAATTCTTAATCAAGAGAGAAAAATAGTGTAAGTGGTATGAATAATACCTAAAACATTAATATTTGGCTCTGAAATGCATCATGTACTATTTTGGCAGCAGATGCGTCTTCTAATAATGTTTCACTTAGGATGTCATGACTATATTTTTTCAGTCACTGTGCTGGTTATCAACGTACCAATTCTCGGATCCAAATTCACCCATTTATTTATTTATTTCAAATAGTTTTTTATTGATTTCACAGAAGAAGGGAGAGGGTGAAAAAGAAACATCAATGATGACAAAGAATCAATGATTGGCTGCCTCTTGCACGCCCCCCACTGGAGATCAAGCCCATAACCCAGGCATGTGCCCTTGACTAGAATTGAACCTAGGACCCTTAAGTCCTCAGGCTGACACTCTATTCACTGAGCCAAACCAGTTAGGGCTTTATTTATTTATTTATTTATTTAACCCTCACCTGAGGATATTTTTCTATTGATTTTTAGAGAGAGTGGAAGAGACAGGGAAAGACAGAAAGAAATATCAATGTGAGAGAAACACACCGATTGGTTGCCTTCTGCATGTGCCCCAACCAGGACCCAGGCTGGGGAGGAGCCTGCAACTGAGGTAGGTGCCCTTGACCAGAATCAAATCCAGGACCCTTCGGTCCATACTGACGCTCTATCCACTGAGCCAAACCAGCTAGGGCCCAAGTTCACCCTTTTTGCAGGCTCTGTGAAAATGGATCTGAGCCTTTAAAAATGATTCTTTTGTCAACTGACAAGATGTTATGGTTTTCAGTAGAGGGAGCTGGAAGACACTGGAGGAGAAAGAGTTCGGCTTCCGGGCTCTGGTACAGCAGCTAGGTAGGCTGCTACAACATAGCCTGCATTTCAGTGTCAGGCTCCTGCTACAACAGTGGTCCTCAACCTTCCTAATGCCACGACCCTTTAATACAGTTCCTCATGTTGTGGTGACCCCCAATTTCATTGTTACAAATTGAACATAATTAAAGCATAGTGATTAATCACAAAAACAATATGTAATTATATATGTGTTTTCCGATGGTCTTAGGCGACCCCTGTGAAAGGGTCCCCCCAATTTCATTGTTACAAATTGAACATAATTAAAGCATAGTGATTAATCACAAAAACAATATGTAATTATATATGTGTTTTCCGATGGTCTTAGGCGACCCCTGTAAAAGGGTCGTTCGACCCCCAAAGGGGTCGCGACCCACAGGTTGAGAACCACTGTGCTACAACATAGCCTGCATTTCAGCAACAGGCTCCTGCTACAACACAGGCTGCATTTCAGCATCAGGCTCCTGCTACAACACAGCCTGCATTTCAGCGTCAGGCTCCTGCAGTACACAGCTACTTCAGTGTCCAGTAGTTTTCCCCAGAATCTCCTTCAGGCAGTTCAGTGGTGGAGTGTTTCTGGTGAGATACCTCTCCATGAACACATTAGGGGGCAGATTTCAGAGGGCTGGTTTAAATCAAGTCCCATCAGTGTGGCTTCTCTGCCATGCAGTGAGCCATGAGCCATGGCTGTGCCTATCCAAAAAATTCTAGATCTCAGCTGGGGATGGTGGCTACTTCTTTTATCAGGGATTCCTGTATTTTTTAGTTTTCTTTATTTGTTAATAGAGGCCCGGTGCACAAAAATTTGTGCACTTGGGGGGGGGGGTCCCTCAGCCCGGCTTGTGCCCTCTCGCAGTCTGGGACCCCTCGGGGGATGTCCACTTGCCAGCGGGGAGCAGGCCTAAGCTGCAGTTGGACATCCTTAGCACTGCTGAGGAAGTGGGAGATACTTCCGCCACCACCACTGTGCTGGCAGCCGTCAGCCTGGCTTGTGGCTGAGCAGAGCTCCCTCTGTGGGACTGCACTGACAACCAGGGGGCAGTTCCTGCATTGAACATCTGCCCCCTGGTGGTCAGTGTGTGTCATAGTGACCAGTCATTCCCAGTGGTTCTGCTGTTAGGGTCAATTTGCATATTACCCTTTTATTATATAAGGATTAGCCAATCTCTCATTACTCCAATCTCCTGTTGTAGTTCATAATT